TTCTCCTCCCAGTCTATTTTCCCCATGTTAGTGATGGGACAGTTTAAGAAATGCCCTTTCCACTAGTGAAAATATAGGACGCCTCTTAGCAGACTTTCATTAAAAGGAAGTATCTTAAGTTTATTCTAGCTTCATTGATGTAAAAACACTAGCAATGAGTTTTCTTGAAAAAAAAGCAATTTGTTCCTAATTATGGCAAACTTTACCGGTACCTGACCAGCCGGGCTGTGGCTCGTACGTTGGATTGCGTGCAGGCAGCAGTAACAGCCTGGTTGATCAGGCACTGATCCACCCGGAGGCCTGGTCAGACCGGGCCGCGGGGACGTTGACCCCCGGAGCTCTCCAGGTAAACCAGCTATCAAAACTTTGGGGCCCAGTCCCTGGACCCATTATGTACCTCTCAAATATTTTGACTGCCGCCCGCTGGATGGGTATGGGGTGCATATTAAACTAAAACCCTTCGTTAAATAAAAATTAAATATTTTTAAAGAACAAATAAAGCTGGGGGGGGGATCAAACTCCGGTTTACCGGGAGAGTTCCGGGGGTCAACGCCCCCGCGGCCCGGTCTGTGACCAGGCCTCCTGGTGGATCAGCCTGACCAACCAGGCTGTTACTGCTGGCTGCACGCAATCCAACGTACGAGCCACAGCCCGGCTGGTCAGGTACCGACTTTAGGTGCTTGTCCAGTGCCAGCTTGAAGACTGCCAGGGGTCTATTGGTAATTCCCCTTGTGTATGCTGGGAGGCAGTTGAACAGTCTCGGGCCCCTGACACTTACTGTATGGTCTCTTAACGTGCTAGTGACACCCCTGCTTTTCATTGGGGGGGATGTTGCATAGTTTGCCAAGTCTTTTCCTTTCGTAGTGAGTGATTTTAGTGTGCAAGTTCGGTACTAGTCCCTCTAGGATATTCCAGGTGTATACAAGTCTCTCTCCCGCCTGCGTTCCAGGGAATACAGGTTCAGGAACCTCAAGCGCTCCCAGTAATTGAGGTGTTTCATCTCGGTTATGTGCGCCGTGAAGGTTCTCTGTACATTTTCTAGGTCAGCAATTTCACCTGCCTTGAAAGGTGCTGTTAGTGTGCAGCAATATTCCAGCCTAGATAGAACAAGTGACCTGAAGTGTCATCATGGGCTTGGCATCCCTAGTTTTGAAGGTTCTCATTATCCATCCTGTCATTTTTCTAGCGGATGCGATTGAGACAATGTTATGGTCCTTGAAGGGGAGATCCTCCGACATGATCACTCCCAGGTCTTTGACGTTGGCGTTTCGCTCTTTTGTGGCCAGAATTTTTGTACTGAGGATTTAATTTCCTAGTGTTTACCATATCTGAGTAATTGAAATTTCTCATCTTTGAACTTCATAGTTTTCTGCAGCCCACTGAAAGATTTGGTTGATGTCCGCCTGGAGCCTTGCAGTGTCTGCAGTACAAGAGTCGTGCAGATTCGGGTGTCATCTGCAAAGGAAGACACGGTGCTGTGGCTGACATCCTTGTCTCAGATATGAGGATGAGGAACAAGATGGGAGAGAGTACTGTGCCTTGTGGAACAGAGCTTTTCACCGTAGCTGCCTCGGACTTTTCTGTTGACTACTGTTCTGTTAGTGAGGAAATTATAGATCCATCGACCAACTTTTCCTGTTATTCCTTTAGCACGCATTTTGTGCGCTATTACGCCATGGTCACGCTTGTCGAAGGCTTTTGCAAAGTCTGTATATATTACATCTGCATTATTCTTTTCTAATGCATCTAGTACCTTGTCGTAGTGATCCAATAGTTGAGACACAGGAGCGACCTGTTCTAAACCCATGTTGCCCTGGGTTGTGTAATTGATGGGTTTCTAGATGGGTGGTGATCTTGCTTCTTAGGACCCTTTCAAATATTTTTATATGGGATGTTAGTGCTTTCGGTCTGTAGTTCTTTGCTATTGCTTTACTGTCCCCTTTGTGGGGGGGCTATGTCTGCTGTTAGTAACTGGGACGACCCCCCCCCCCCCCGGTGTCCATGCTCCCTCTCCATAGGATGGTAAAAGCTCGTGATATGGTTTCTTGCAGTTCTTGATAAACACTGAGTTCCACGAGTCTGGCCCTGGGGCAGAGTGCATGGGCATGTCATTTATCGCCTGTTCGAAGTCATTTGGCGTCAGGATAACATCAGATAGGCTTGTTAACCAAATTCTGTGGCTCTCATAAAAAAATTAATTTTGATCTTCGACTGTCTGGTTAGCGGCTTGCTAAAAAGTCATATTGGGACTTGAGTAGCTCACTCATTTCCTTGCTGTCATCTGTGTAAGACCCATCTTGTTTAAGTAGGGGCCCAATACTGGACGTTGTTCTCGACTTTGATTTGGCATAGGAGAAGAAATACTTCGTGTTTCTTTCGATTTCACTTATGGCTTTTAGTTCTTCCCGCGATTCCTGACTCCTATAAGATTCCTTTAGCTTTAGTTCGGTGCTTGCTATTTCTGACCAGCGACTCCCTACGCATTTCAGATATATTGGCCTCGTTTAGCCGCTCGTATTCTTTTCCGTTGCCTGCAAAGGGAGCGCCTGTCTCTATTTTACATCTACTACTTTTTCTTAGAATAAGCCTTGTGCATACATAGAGTGCCACAGAGTTAATCTGTTCTAGGCATAAGTTTGGGTCTGTGTTGCTTAGTATATCTTCCCAGCTTATATCGGTTAGGACTTGGTTTACTTGGTCCCACTTTGTTTTTGAAGTTTAATTTGGTGAATTCTCCCTCGTGACTGATCTCGTTATGTCGGTCTGGGGCTCCGCGCACGTATGTCTGAACCTCAAGTATGTTGTGATCAGAGTATATTGTTTTTGATATGGTGACATTTCGTATCAGATAATCATTGTTAGTGAAGACTAGGTCTAGTGTATTCTCCAGTCTAGTAGGCTCTTATTTGCTGGTTTAAATTGAATTTTGTGCAGAGTTTAAAAGATCGTGTGTGCGAGTTCTCATCAGAGCTGCCTCCTGGTTTTCTGCATAAACATTATTTGCTATATTCCTCCATTTTAGGTGCCTTAAGTTGAAATCCCCCAGGAGAAAGATGTTAGTAGACAGATGCAGTGTCTAGCAGAAGCAACTCTTTTAATGCCAAAATATCCTCAGCATACAAGATGGAATAAAATCTGGTAATCACTAGCTTTAACTGTTTCATTGAAACTTAAGCTAGGTCATTTAACAGGAGTATAAATAGGAAACTAAGTCTCACGCTCAGAATACGGAGGTTAAGCCTGCGTCTTGTGCTTAACATGAATTACCCAATTTTGTCATTAACTCGTTCGTATCTAGAACTCCAGAAAGAGTAGCACAAGTTGTGGAAGTGAATATTAATCAAGCTTAGCACTAGGATGCTAGCACTGAAATTTATCCTAGTTGCAAAGTTAAATAGCTCTTGGGGAACGCTAGCAAGCTCATTTGTCTATTTTATGGCTAGACAATTTATTTACGGGACTTTCACTTTATGAACATTTAATCTAAATTTTAGACTACATTTTAGTTTGTACAAACCTGTAAAAATGTGTAACTGAACGTGCCACTGAGCCCTAATATTTTTGAACCTAAAAATATCCTAGTGGCCCAAAAATGATCCCTCCAGTTGTGATGGACGTTCAAGAACTCTGATTCAATAAGGTTGACCTACCCTCGCCTCGTATTAAACTTCACCCATACGGATTTATTGCTTAGTATCTCCAAGTTTCTTTAGATTGCTTTTAGTATTGTATACCAAATGTCTCCCATGTTCAAATATCACGTGAATTTAGTTGCTGCTTACTGTTGATTGAAATGGTACACTTGTCAACACGCTAATTTCTGCATACAAGCATAGCAGTTTGGAAATTCTGAATTTTCCTAAATTCAGAATAAGTAAAACTTTAATATAGTGCATTAAAATATGACGCTGAGTTGACGCTTCTAGAAATTTCGAGTGGGGGGGGGGGGTTGAGCGTCACGAAGTAATACAGGGGATGCAATAATAGAATCTGGGAACACTGATTACGACACTTTAGAGGTTAATCAGGAGTCATTAGGACCAAATTTGGGCGTATCGGCCTCAATCTGTAGTTACCACTTAATGGAAGAGTAATTTACAGTATTTACGTGGACCCCTCGTAATTTCTAGCATTAGGGTGTTCCACCAGCAGTATTAATGGTAAGTTGGTACATCAGATTTTTCTTCATTAATAATAATTTTAAAGTGTATGAAGATAAAATGTACAATGAACTCTGTACCTTGCTCACTGAAGTCAGAAATAGTCCACAATATATTAACTATTTTAGTTTCTAGCTTTATTATACGTCCAACTGTGTAGATCTGAGGTGCACCTAACTTCAGTTAGTGCCATTTTTAGTTGTACCTCGCCCAAATTAAATGCATGTAAGAATTTAGGTTAATACCTGTGAACCTCGTGCACATTCTCTCAAAATTCATGCACATTTACATTCCCTAGAAAATCTTAGCTGCTTATTGTAAAAGTAACTTCCTACGGGTTTAGCGTTCCCCCATTATAATAAAATGTACAAGTAACCTTTTTTTTCCCATTTTTTTACACTTGCTGTTAAGCTAGCCTTGTAAAAAAAATAGTAATTGTAGCTCGAGTGATTGAGCACTCATTGTAAGGTACTACTGATGCGTAGTTTCACAATGTTCTGAAGAGCTTTCAGATCTTGGACTGATATCTCTAGTGAGCACTGTTGGCAAACACTGTTGACAGATTTTTTTTTTTTTTTTTTTTTTTTTTTTTTTCTCCATCTTTGCTACATTCTATTAGTCTTATCCCTTTCCACCTTCCCTATAATTATTCACTGCTTAAGCTTCGACATCCATTGGGTATGAACTTTAAATCTGGTGTTTGATTTCTTTTCATTACCTTTCATTCCGAATATGTAGCACTTCAGAATCAGAGCTGGTAAGTGGTTCATTTAATATTTAAATGTCAGTAATTGGGTTTTACTTCCAAAACTAAATACTAAAGCTAAATTTTTGTTTCAGGAGCTAAAATAACCATGGACTTTTATTATATGCCTATCTCGGCACCTTGCCGGTCGGGGATGCTGACTGCCAAGGCTGTGGGTGTGGAGCTCAATCTTAAACATCTTGACCTGTTTTCCGGAGAGCACATGAAGCCAGAATTCCTGGCCATCAACCCTCAACACGTGATCCCCACTTTGATCGACGGTGACTTCGTCCTTTGGGAGAGGTGGGTACTGGAGAGTAGTCGTGCGCAATTGTGCTGTATCCTGGTAGCAAGGGGGGGGGGAGACGGGGCAGGACAGGACGGTGAAAAAGAAAAAAAAAGAGGGGCAAAGGACTCGTGGCAAGAATTTAATGGTCAAATGTTGCTAGCTACAGTTAAAATTTAGTTTAATATTTAATGCTTAAAGTAGTGAGGTGGGTGCGAATCATTCAGAGCTGTTTTAATGTTTGTCACTTCTGTACCCTTGAGGGACTGTTGATCTAGGGAATTGGATCTGTGCTCCAGTTCCCTGAATTAAGCCCGAATACCTTCCATTCTCCCCCCCCCCTTCACAGGCCATGTATAATCTTGCGGGTTTAGCGCTTCCCCATGATTACAATTTTTAGAAGCATAATTAGCCTAATAAAATGCATTTGGTAGGTTAATCTCCTTGGGTACTAGTGTAAAATACCCATTTATTTTAAAGGGTGGAGAGACAAGGAATGCGTTGAATGGTTCCATTTTTATAAAATTGCTTTTTTCACTTTATTGTAATTTTTTTTTGTCATGGTTTTTTTTTTCACTGCCTTCTCAGTTTTTGGTACCTATAGTTTACTAGGAAAGATTCGTACCGTAGACAGTAAATACCCTTAGATTTCTTGGTCCTTTTAATATTGAAAACGTCGTAGCACACACTATACTTCAAAATGCTCGAGTATCTTCTGCTGCTCTGAGAGTATCCCTGTATTCCATGACCTCCAGTCCTTAATGGCTGAATGTACGCAATTAAATTTTAGGTTCGGCATAACTTTATTTTTACTAAAATATTTGAATTTGCCTATCTCTTCTGGTTATCTTAGTCATAAGATAATACCCAAACCTCTTCAGTATTACATAGCCCAATCTACTACAAACCTTTCATGAAGAGTTCTGAAACTTCTTTCAGCACATTTTACAGGCACACACAACGTGGAATGATGACACTTAAGGTACCAAAATAGTCACTTTAAATGTTATCTCCAAATTTTCCAAACCAATTAATTAAAAATTTTTGAATAAGCTAACGTAATTGGTTTAAAGACTTTCATCAGCACTTAAAATATGTATTTTCCAGTTATAGCTAGAATCTGTGCCTACACATCCTAAACCCATGCAACAATTCATAAATTTCATACTATACACCAGCCATTTTAGGGGGATGGAGGAGGGAGGGGGGGGGGGGCTTCCTTGAGGCGACAGAGGATCTTTAAGTAATTACACCCTTTGGTCTCCTTCCTCAGACCCGAACCTAATAGCCCCAATCCTCCCTCTTCCGCGTCCCGTTTGTAGCCTCTGGGGGGGGGGGTCCTCCCTTCTGGCATTAGTTTCTAAGTAGGGGAAAATATGCCGAGATTAATCACTTTCCGTGAGGTTCCTCGTGTAGTGTAGTTTGCTGTGGAATCTGGATTGTCTGGAGGTGCCCTGCTCCCTTCCCGGATTTCAGAGGTGGGCGGAGTGTCCTGCGGATAACTGATTTATATCCAGAGGCTGCCTATTGGTTCTGGGAGGTGACAGCCGAGGGATGTCTCCGACCACCCTCTGTCTGCCGAGGTGGCTCTGTAAATGTAAGGTTGATATCCCAGAGCGCTGGTTTACTGGCATGAAGGGTAGGGCTCCCTCTGATGAGGGAAGGGACTTATGGCCCTTTGGTGCCTTCTGATGTTTCGGCCTCCCCCCCCCCCCCTCCGTTGTCCCTTTTTTTTTTTACCACTTAGAATTGGAGTCATGAGTCATGCCAGGAGTGAGTTCCCTAACTTAGTCATAGGGCATGTGAATGTTAATTGTTCAAGGAATTCATGCCTTTTTACTGTACAGTTAGATTTAGTAGGTTGGATATGGCTATCTAGAATTGAGCATTAAAATTGAAACTGAAGAAATGCGGGCAACCTCTTACAGGTCCTTATTCTTTTTTTTAAGACTTCAATGTTAGGGCTTTGTATATTTTAGAAGTGGTTATTGCTAGTTTCTTTTACGAATATAATTTCTGTGAGTTGGACATTTCAGGTATCTTTTACCCTACAGTTCAGTTAGTTTTCATCGCATTTAAATGAGCAGGGAGCATATGAATAGAGCAAATTCTCTCCTTCAGCAATGTTGTGGGAAAGAAAATAAAAGGGGTAGTTTATTGTATAGGAGCGTGGCTCGGGGACCAGGTTGATGGGGGGGGAAAGTGCGATTTGTGTATAGGCTTAAAGCGGGCCAAGTTGTATGTTGGCGTACATACAGGGCCACTTCTGTAGGGTTTTTCAAATTCAAAGTTTATTCTCTATAAGGATTACAATGCAGAGTTTACAGAAATTTGGTTATTGTTTGGTTTACATGTAGTAAAATTGATTAGTGTACCACTAGAACGCTTAGCATGGCTAGGCATTTCGGGCATACTTAGTTTTATTCTTAATTGTAAAATATTACAAATTGAGGTAAGTTGGTATTATGGCTAAGTGACTAAATACTAGTTTGTGAGTTTAGCAATGTGAATGCTTTTGTTTTGGCACAGTATATAGTTTCAGTATTGGAGTATCACAAGATTCATTATTTTAAGACAGAGATTAATATTTCTGTTTATGGTCAGATGAGTGAGCGAGTGTGAACCACCAGGTGGTATTCGTGTAGTTAGTTGACGGGGTGTATCAGGGAGATAAGATGTTTTCTATGGTAGTTTTGAAGGTGATGAATGTTCTGCGGGTTCTAGAGTTCTCAGGTAGGGTATTCCAGATTTTAGGGCCTTTGATGTACATTGAATTTTTGTAAAGGTTTAGTCGGACACGGGGAATGTCGTAGAGATGTTTTTCTGGTGTTATTCCTGTGGGTTCTGGTCAAAAACTATCAAGAAAGCGTTTTAGGTGAAAGGGTTTATATTAGAGTTTAAAGGCCCTGTAGATATAGATTGCACAGTAGTAAGTGTAGATGTACTGAACTGGGAGTAAGTTTAGATCTTTGAAGAGTGTGGGGGGTGTGCTGCCAGGGATGGGATTTAGTGATTATTCTTACTGCAGCTTTTTGTTGGGTTATTATTGGCTTTAGGTGTGTTGCTGCAGTTGATCCCCAAGCACAAATAGCATAGGTGAGGTATGGATAAATGAGTGGTATAGTGTGAGAAGGGCATTTTGCGGCACGTAGTATCGTATCTTGGGTGGTGAAAGTGGGGGGTGATTAAGTGGTTTGCGTAAATTTATTAGTGATTAATATAGACTACTGTAAATCACTGGGAGAGGCAGTCGCGTTCGGTAGGAAGACTACAATGAACGTGGTTACATCAGACGGATTGGAAGAGATGTAAAGATTGGGGTAGCAGTCCCCCCACGCAGGTGGAGTGGCCTCGAAGTTTGGTATTGTGGTTGTAATTTATTGTATAATTATATTCCCGTTCTGTTAGTACTGAGTAGAGTACTAGTTTGTGTAGTGATTGGATACAGTAAGAGTATCTCTTGTAAGATAAGATCAAATCCTTTAACTGACAAGGTCACTTGCCTTGTGACCATAGTTTGAATCATTCTCATTGTCTTAGAATGGCACGAATAACTATTACTGAGAGCCCTTCAATAAGTTGGGGGGGGGGGGAGGCCTAAAAAAAAAAAAATCTTAAGATGGAGGAAAAATAGTGCAAATGTAGGTTAGCCATATACCGAATTCTTAATGTTTAATTCGGAACAACTGAAATTTTTAATAACTGATGCATCTTAGGGCTAGGATAGTACATTTACTTGGAGTGGGACTAAGTGCCATAACTGGTTAACGATTCTTCTAATACTTCAAAACTTACAACTGGTATGGTTTCCTGAACACTAAGGCCCACGCTAGTCAGAATTAATTTTACCAATTTTTAATTAATTTTTCTTAAATTCCTTAATTCTACTTTTGATTGGCTTCAAACTTTGAATAGTTGAGTGAATTGCAGAAAACTTATAAGCTTCGAATCTTAAATCCTGTATTTTACATTACATTTATTTACTTTTATTTATTTGACTTTTAATTATCTTGCAGGAATGTAGAGTGCACATAAAATGTATATACTAAAAATTTTAAAATTTGTATGCTTTAAAGAGGAATTTTACCAGAAATGCAACTTTGGGTTCTTTTTAATTTCCCTTTGTTGCTGAGAACTGTTTATCGGTTTCAAAATTTCAACTCTTGTGGATAAGTTTTTTAATAATTAGGAAAATTTGTAGCCGGGATGCCTTATGGGCAATGATAAAAAGCCTTCCCAAAACGTCTTAATGTATCACAAAGCTCCTCGAGGGGCTTTCCTTAACACCGTGTGCCCCACTTCGGGGTTGGGACGTTTATTTTTAATATCAAAAATGCTATGTATTTTACCTTATTGCATTTTTTTTTTCCCTGGTGCGGGCAGCATCACACCCATGGAATATTCGTTTTCATTTTTTTTTTTTTAATCTGATTTGCCCCCATTCCATGGTGGTTGCCCCCACCCCCCTACGGGTTTAGTCTTTTTAAACTTTAATTGTGAACGGATAGTCTTGAAGGGTGATGTAGTAAGAATGGCGGGAACGTTTCCTATGTATTTTTAGGAAAGTTTAAGCTGTAAAATAATGGAAAATGCTTTTTTTGAACTCAAACCTTTTGGTGTTAACGAAAATTTCTACTTTTTTTATTTTTTTGGTTTCTTTAAAATTTTGGTTTTAAATAGTGCTTGTATCGACTTTTTTTGCCGAAAAGCAGAAAGATCGGTGAAAAGAAAAGGGGGGGGGGGGGGGGGGGGGGGGGGAAACGAAAAATTAAATTTGGCGGGACGGGCCAAAGTGGTACTTGGGGAAAGGGGTTTTTGACATTTATTGTCATAAAACACTTTAATTCCATCCTCCCGTCCTATTCTTTTTAATAAGGGTTCCCTTATTGGTTTCAAAACAAGCCCTTGTTTCCCAACAATAAAAATTTTATTTTTTTTACGTAAAAAATCGCAGGAAAAAACTTTGAGTAACTTTTTGTGAAAATCAGGTAATTTGTTTATAAATTTGGGGTCTACC